GTCCATCCATTCCTTTATTTCCATCCTTTCCATCTGGTCCTCTCGGTCCCATCTGTGATGGACAGGCCTGAAAATAAAATTTTCATTTTTTGGAGGTTACTTTTAATTCATATCATTTCTAACTTGAAAAAACCTCATTGAGTCCTTGAGGTCCTGGCAGTCCTTTATCTCCATCTTTTCCATCCCGTCCTCTCGATCCTGGCTGTGGTGGACAACCCTTAAATAAAATTTACGCATTCTTTACAGATTGCTTTCAATAACACAGTTTCCGTCTTAAATACAATTTATGAGGGACTTACTTGAAGCAGGAAAACGGTACAGATAACCAGTAACAAAGCACTGAGAGGAATGCATTGGTACTGATAATCGAAATTGATTATGTGCTTAATGCCTGAAAAATTTCAAACTTCCTCTCACACTTTTTGATCTCTTGAAGTTTGCCAAAAAGTTGTTTAGGATTTTTTCAAGACCATTCATTGATAAAAATCTGATATGGTTAGAACTTTCTACTCATTTGCACTCGTTAATTAATTAAGGAAAATCGCTCGGTCAATTGTTAGAAGATCAAAGATTGATAGAGAATCCGGAAATATGGATGGAAGAATAAGTTTTGAACTTTCGAGAAACAAAAGTGATTTCTGAATCGGGTCATGTCGATTATAATAGATTAGTTGTTCTTTGGAAGTTTCTGAAATTCTTTGACTTCATTTCTTTTTGATTCATTCCATTCACATCCTTTGATTAGTGAAGATAAAGCAACAGTCGATTCATTAGAATGTGCATACTTCTAGAATTCTTTGTGAAATGATCGCATCAAATGCACTATAAAAGATTATTGACGGTATCTGCAAATGCTAAACGGATTATTACATGTGATGATTTAAAGTGAACAGAAAGAGGATTCTGTTGATTGATAGGAGATCAATGGTTGATGGATCAATCCGGGAGGATGGATGGAAGAGCAGGTTTGAAATCTTCAAACAACATAAGTGATATATCATTAGTACCGGTTATTTGCAGTTGATTTATCATATAAGAAATTCTGAAAAATTTTAAATTGCTCAATTTTGACTTCTGTAATTTGAGCAGAAGCTTATGTTCAAATTTCTGAATGTGGGAAACAACAATTTAGTATAGAGTATATATTCAATATATATTCAGTACAGAGTTTTTTTAATTGGTTAGTAGCAATGAGATTGGTATGGAAAAACAACGATACTCAAAGCATCACGGGGCAAGGATGTATACGAACGAATTATAGGGCTTACCAAAAAGGCTCTTCTTAGAGCCTGATAATTCTAAGAAAATCTAAGAAGCCCGATAATTCTAAGAAAATCTAAGAAGAGTAATAGGGAGGAAATCTTTAAAAGAAAGAGAATTGGTAACTTTGATAGCAGAAATAGGAAAATACTTAATACTTGCCCAATAACATATATAAGCTTTAGTGAGTTATGTGCCCTACTGATTTTATCTTACCCAATGCTTCATTATGTTTACTAACTAATTATAACAATAATCAGGACGAATATGCTCCTTATTCGAGTTCACAGCAAACGACTGTAAATGGATTCCTGATATTCTGCTCAGTATTCTTGAGAAATGAAACTACGAGAATGCACTGGGACAGAACTTCATACCAACTAATGTAGCAATTTACACACGGACTCAAGCAAGGATATCCACAATAAAATGCAGTAACATCACTTATACGGCATGTTCTTATCAATAACTTTAATCTTCGTTCGTTTTTAAAGAAAATAGAGCTGTTACAGCAACAAATCATGATTTTATCGATCCTTATCTGATAAATATGACATCATCCTCGATAAAGTAATAATTAAAAATTTATTCAAATTAAAATCCGAGTAAATTCATTAAAGGGAGAATTAACGATGATGAAAACTAAAGAAGAAGAAATTATCGACCGCGGAAACGTCAAATTCTAATATGTCTTTGAAAATCTTCGAAAAGAATTTAAATAACTGGTTGAATTGTTCAAACAAAGTTTATCAAAATCGTAATAATCTGTTATCACTAAATGAATTGTTATCTCATAGTAACCCTACGTTAGCTGCCGTATCTTTATTACAAAGGAGTGACGTAATAGCAAAAAGGATCAATGGAAATTTATTAATTGCTCCATTATTCATCCCTTAAAAAACTCAATCTGAGATTTATCGAATTCAAAGGCGGAATAATTCGTAAGTTGAAATTGAACGATGTAATTTCACTTTAATTATTTCAACTATTATATATAATATAATCATTTCGGTTTTCCGATACAAAAAACTGAATATTATTGCATTATAATTGTAAGTGTGAAATCACAAAAATAAAATTGAAATTTAATCGCTTCCTTGCAAGGAAATGATCTGGAAAATTACTCAAAGAAAATTTTATATCTTTTAATTCTTCTCGAAATAAATAAACACAAATTTTAATTTCTTTGAGCATTTTACAAAGTAATTATTGATTCTGTCATCACTCTCTCTGATGTTCGGATTTTTGATAAACTGAATGAAATTAGATTATTGCTCTTAAATCATTTAATATTATCCTTAATAACTTTTTTGCTGCATTTAATTTATATTATAAAATGGAAATATGGAAGTGATAAAGCTGTATGGCTTTTTCATGTTCTTTTTTGCTATATCGTGTAAGCTTGTTATCTTTCATCTGTCGAATTCCCTATAAATCATTGAACTTCTATCGATCAACCGATTCTTCTAACTTTCATAGATATCGTCTATTACCGCTTGATGTTGTAATTTGTTGCATTCGATATGATCATTCAACAAATAGTTTTTGAAATGCTCTTTGTTTTATGAATTTCGAAAAGATTCATATCAGGCATCCAACTTTCCAATATAAATTTAGAAAATTTCTCTGCGGAATTCGCTTATTAAATTTTCATTTTTTAAATGCAACATTAAATTCTGATCTAATAGTTATGATTTGTTCATAGAAAAAGAAAAGATCTCTTCCCACAAAAATTTTTTTTGTGAAGTTTGTTTTTTTGTGTTTTTAATGATATTTAAAAAGATTTAAATAGTCGTCTGGCATTTTTTTCCTTCATTTTTTACTAATTTTGAAATGACCGAGAATGTGAGGATTTCAAAATTTTTCAGCCGTTATGTATATATAATCAATTTCAGGTTATCAATACCAATGCATCTTTTCAGTACTTCCCTATTGGTTATTTGCTCCGTTATCGTAGTCGAAGTATGTTCCCTCATATATTGTTTCGTGATGAAAAAAAATATTTTAAGGCAGCCTCCAAGCATGTGTAAATATTTTTTGAGACCTGCATTCCATTAAATGCGCAACCAGGATTGCGAGGACCGCCAGGTAGGGATGGACGGAAAGGAAGTGAAGGCGAACTAGGAGTTCGAGGTGAAGAAGGTCCACAAGGAGAACCGGGAATGCAGGGACCACCTGGGAAACAAGGTAAACCAGGTGACAAAGGAATTCCAGGACCGCCAGGAATTCGAGGCAATGAAGGTGATCAAGGTTCGATAGGGCCAATGGGAGCAGGATAAAAACAGCAGGCAATGGAATTTAGCTGAAATATCGAAGCAATCCCTCTCAGTGATATCAGTTCTCTCATTTCCACTAACCTATTGTTGATGTGTCCTTTACATTATGTCATGAAATTCATAGACCTGAAATTATAATCAGTGCTTTTATGGAATTTACTTACAAACGTTAGAGTACAAAATTTGAATTTTATAAAGCAAATGCTTTATTTTCAAATCACATCTTCTTTATTTATTTTTTATTTTTTTCAAATCATAACCTAAAATACTTCAATTTTGAGCGCCAAAATATTTTTACTTTCAATTTATTCAAACAAAGCCGTTTTGCAGCATTTACTGCACCAAACATTACTTTGTTTTGCTTCTGAAATTCTTTGACTTCTTTTCCTTTTTGTAAATTCAACTGAAATTCAAGTTCAGCTTTTTGAATATGCGAAAGGGCGATGGTGCTGTAGAAGATTGTTCCTGAAAAATCATATTATTATTTGTCATTTTCAACTATCCTCTGATGGCTTCAATTGATGAAAAGCATTTCATCGAGACAGCTTAGAGAATTTAGTTTTCAGATTTTGCTTAAAAGTTAGGAAAGGTCAAAACAACCCTGCCATTTTTGTTTGTAGCTTAACTTGGCATATTCTCTGAAGATTTAATTGTAATTAAGCTGTCAAAAGGTTATAAGCTGTTGTTATAAAATGTAATCAAAATTACTGTAAAGTTGTGTATTTCATGGAATAAAAGACCCTTTCGAGAAACCTTAAAATAAGCTCGTCTAAAATTAAAATTTTAAATACATCAAGCAAAAATGAGTTATATATACACAAATAACTTTAATTATAACCAAGATAAAAATTTGATTAATTTTGCTGAAAGTAGAGATCAGTGACGCTTGGAAATTGAACTCTGAATGCGAGTGGTGAATGAAGGTCAAGAGTGTTCCTTT